CCCCAACTTTCCCAAGGAGTGTAAGTTCTGTTGCGAATATTTAAATATTGCTTAGCTTTGCCTTGGATAAAAACCAGACAGACAGAGAAATCCTTTAGATAGTTATCTGCCCTACATGTTCACCTCATTACACCTACAGGAAATAAAACATGTCCCAGACCCAGAAAGAGGCATCATCCTGATTTTGAGAGGCTCTAATCTAAGACAGGGCTTCCCAGGTGGCTCAGCGGTAGAGAATCCGCCTGCAATGCAGGAGACGTGGGTTCGATCCTGGGTCGGGAAGATCCGCTGGAGAAGGGAATGTCCACCCTCTCCTGCACTCTTCCCTGGAAAAGCCCAGACAGAGGAGCCTGAGGGCTGCAGCCCGTGGAGTCACTGAAGAGTCCCACACGGACTCGGTTACGAAGCAACAACCACAAATCTAAGACCGTGGTTCCCAGACCACAGGGTCACCCTCGCCTGCTGTGCTTCCTCCCGGGCCAGTGCTCCTCCTTCTAATGTCCTGCTCATGATCCCTGAGTCTGGTAACAGCTTGGCGATTCTTCGGCCTCCTTCTCCTTCGTCTCGGGATTACTACCTGGGCACAAGCCCCATGCCCTTCTAGACTCTGATTTACCATCTCCCCTCGTCTCAGTTCGCAAGTCTCCGTGCTTCGCTTGCATCTGTCTTGGAGATCGCTCCCCTGTGTCTCCAATGCACGGCTCACATTCCTGCTCTCCTGTGAACACTCCAGGGAAGAATCCTGAGGTGGGGCTCCTGGACTGGGCCTCACTTGGCCTCCTGCCGTCCTCAGGCTTCCAACCCAGGGTCCCACCATCAGGAAGAGCAGTATGTCCTCTGGGTCCCCACCGTCTCTGACATATCACACACGCATCATCCCTTCTCCTCTGGGAAATCCAGTGACCTTTGAAATTTCCCTTTGGGATGAAGAGGCAGAGATGGGGCAAGGAGTTCATCAGAGACGCCATCCCTGTGAGAGCACCTGCATGAAATTTCCTCCCAAGATTATCTTCCTGAACTCACAGAATAAAGCCCAGTCCTGTTTTTCTGATTGAAACAGCTATTCTCTGACATCACACCCTCCAGCATTCTTGTGATAAATCAGCTTTCTCTTTATCCGTCCTGAACCATCTATGCTGATAATTTAACAGACATCTGGACTTTTCCTGTTTGTTTTTATGGTGTCATTTCTACACAATATCATAGCAAATTTCCTCACTGTAGTTCAACCTTCCTGGGGTTGCAATGACCTCTCAATATGACCTACTGTTATGACCATCAAAAGCGTCTGATCATGAATACACTTGAAGCTGGAAGACTCCCTTTTCCAGTGCTGAATCCACCCCATGTGGGTGCTGGAAGTTTGATTTTCCTGAGTTTTATCTCCTTCCTTTCCTTCTGCTGTACCCTGAGGTCCCAGCTTCATCCTGAGCTGTTTCTTGTAATGGACCCTTCTGCTGTTCCGTTTGTGCTGTATGCTCACATTCTTTACTCAACTCTCTTTTTCTAATGTTACTCTTTGGAATTCCCAAGTGGCTCGGTTGGTAAAGAATCCACTTCCCGTGCAAGAGACCCAGTTTCGGTCCCTGGGTCAGGAAGCTCCACTGGAGAAGGCAATGGAGTGTTCTTGCCTGGTATTCTTGCCTGCCACTCCAGTATTTTTGCCTGGGGAATTCCATGGAGAGAGGAACCTGGTGGGTTACAGTCCACGGGGACCCAGAGAGTTGGACAAAACTAAGCGACTAACCACACACACCCTTCACAGCAAAAGTCAGTACATTACAGTGCAGGATGAAAAACACATTTGTCTCCTGGAGTGAGACTAGAAATGGGCAGGAAAAAGCCCAATATGCCACATTCTGAAAGTTGCCAGATTGCACAATCTAGGAAAATTAGATGTGAGTGAAGAATAACACTGCTGTTTTCAATGCTGTGTTCTGGTCAGGAGGGATTTCCCAAACTTTCTTCCCTTCTTTCTTTTTTTGCTTCCACCCCATTTCTCATTTGCTCCCCTGGCCAAGTGTCAGTATATAAAGCACCGGCCCGTCTCCCAGGCAGGCAGCACTGGCGGCGCAGCTTCACCAGGAGCCTCAGCAGGAGGGCACAGCCAAAGGTGAGGAGGTAGAACTCTCCAGCACTTTTCCTCTGTGGAGACTTTCTCTTCACCAGCATTCTTGTGCTGCAGCCCAGCTCTCTGCTTCCTTCCTGAATCTACTATTCATTCTGACCATTAGAATCCGCCAGGCATGACCACTTCAGGGGGTAGGGCTCTCCTTGTCTGCTTCTTCTGTGAAGGCAGTGATGGGGTGAGCACGCTGCCACAGACACCTGTGCCTCATTCACCTCGTCTCACATCACAGACAGGCAGCATGAACTCACTCCTCGTGCCTCTGGGGAACTTGCAGTGCAGCTGGGTTTCTGGCTGATAGAGGATGAGGGGACTGGAAAGTGGTTTATGCTAAAAGCCCATTGCAATCCTTCATGCAGGAAATCACTGGATTCCCAGGATTCAGTGGAAATGAGAGCTGGATCCTCTGTGTTACAACCTATTGTCTATCTATCTATCGAGATAAAATTCAGAGAGATTTACATTTGGAATGTAAGAGTGTGTCCACATTACAACTCAACCTCAAGACCTGTCATTCTTGGTTGAGTCCACTCATCTCTCTGTTGCAGGATGAACCTTTCCACGGGCATCATTTTCTGCTTCCTGATCCTGGGCGTCAGCAGCCAGAGATGGGGGACATTCCTAAAGGAAGCTGGTCAAGGTAAGGACCAAAGGATGGGCCAGGGGAGGCTGTGCCTGCTTCCCCAGGATTCACCTGAGCAGAGGACACATCCCCACAGGGCAAAGGCCATCAGTGGGCAGAAAAGGAGCTTGGTTTGCATGGTAGCACTTCCCGAGGCTGTTCTGGCAGCTTTGCACTCTTTTCGGGGATCCCCAAGCCTGAGGTCCCATAAAGTTTGGGCCCCAACTTTCAGCAGGAGTGAGGAAGACATCTGGGGGGCGGGGTGCGTGTTCCCAAAATACCAGCAAGTCTCTGCTCCCACCTCGTGGGCAACTAGAGATGGCTCATTTCCAAGTCTCCTGTAGCCAAGAAGTGGGTGCAACAACTAAAATACCTGATTTTTTAGTAGCTGGTCAAGCCTGTCTAAGAGCTTTACGTGCAGGAATCGACTCGTTTTCCTCCTCAAGGTTTAATCCTGGAGTCCTGCAATGTAGGGACCATTACCCTTTATCAGAGAACCTGCTGCCCCAAGAGATTAAGATAGGTTCCAATGTCCTCCCGCAGAGCAGGATTGAACCCAGCATCCTGAGACCCTGCTGTTAACCTCGGCCCTTCTACTGCTTCCCAGACAAGAGTACACGTGGAGAGTGAGGAGTCTGTGAACAAGCATCCTGCTCTTTATCTGAGTAGATGGCAGAGAGTGGGGGTTGGTGCCTCTGGAAGGAAACCGGATAGAGTTCCCCTCCCCACAGTAAATGGGAGCATGAGTTTTCTTGATGATGGTTCTGCTGACGCTGAGACCTGGTGAGAATCCTATAGCAAGAGACATAGACCTCACTAGCCAGAGCAAACTGGCTATTATTTATTTCCCAAAACTATTTGGTGTTCTTATTTTTCTGTGATAATTGCTGAATAATTGTTTTAAGAGTTTGTTCTTCATTCTATCTAAATTCACACAGGCCCAGATAAAAATATCTTTTCATCTCCTAGGTCAGTGTTGCTCAAGGGGCACTCTAGGATGACTTGCATGAGAATCACCCGTGGTCTGGGTGCTTTGTGGAATGCAGGTGTCTGGATCCACACACAGTCCCTTCCCTGAACCACAATCCCTGGGGCTCTCTGCAAACCTGTCCATTATTAAGCACCCCACTTGATTTTGCACAGAATATATATTGAGAACCACTACCTGGTTTTGCACCCAAGGGACGAATATGCCGTGCATTTGGAAGCACTTATTACGCAGCTCTAGGCTCCAGGGCCTATTTAAGTCTGTAACTCTGGGTGAATGGCTATAGTAAGAATATCATAGCCCTCAACAAAACTATGTTTCTGAACAGTGGAAATAGCTAATACCTAAAATAAAGACAAGTTATCTCACAGAGCTATTACATAAACTATGATTATAATCCACGTTATATTTTCCTCTTTTCCCTAATGCGCTGATCTTTGAAACCTTTGCCATTTCATTCTGTCTAGGTTGGGTTCTTTGCCCATGCCTCCCTGATCTTCATCCTACTTTATTTATTTTTTTGCCCTACTCGTCTAAGGACCAGCGAGGTGATGGTATAGTGAGCACCTACAGTGTTCTCTAAACTCAACCTGTATTTCCTCAGTTCTGCTTAACCACCCTGAGGGAGACATTACTCCTCCATTTTACTGGAGAGGACACTGAACTTTAGAGCTGGTGGTTCAGTTGCCCTTTTTCTGATTCTGATTACCCTGTTTCATCAAAGCCCTCTTAGGGAGCTCACCTTTACCACCTGCTGATTTAATTCTGATCGTTGCCCATGAGCAAACATGCCCTCAGTATTCAGATGTACTCAGGCGCAAGTTAGTCACCAGGGCTGGATTTCTCCCCTTGACCAGGCTGGGAGTATCCTATATCCACAGCCTTTCTCAGTATCGTCCTTCTCAAGCTCTGGTCAGAGCCTTTCCTGCATCTTTCCAGGTGGAGGTTTATTGTGTAAGCAAACATCCCTTAAAGAAAGAGCATCGACCTCTTCTTCACACACATCACACACCTCCAGAAACAGAGTATCAACAGACTTAGAATGAAATCGCACAGAATAAAATTTGCACCAAGTGTGATACTCACAACTTCAGATCAGGGAAGTAAGTGAGAAGTAAAGAAGTATTTATTTCAAGCCAAAATAATAATCTCCAAAGGCTTAGTCGAAGGCTGAAACCTAGAATCAGTGGGAGGAAATTATTTATTTCTGTCTTTCACCAAAACACAGTCACATTCATCTCATCATTTTCTTTTCCTCCCAGGGGCTAAAGACATGTGGAGAGCCTACAGAGACATGAAGGAAGCCAACTACAAAGGTGCAGACAAGTATTTCCACGCCCGCGGAAACTATGACGCTGCCCAAAGAGGACCAGGGGGTGCCTGGGCTGCTAAAGTGATCAGGTACCAGGGTCCCTGGGGATGCAGGGATGGGTGTGCAGAGCTTGGCTGCCTTGGACAACCTGGAGGGGCCAAGCCCTGGAGAACTTTCCTGTAGGGCTGTGGGCCCTCTTACCCACCCTCCTGCTATGCGCACAGTGTGAGGTCTGGGTGACTGAGGAGCAGAGCAAGCTTGGTGGGCCAGGCGACTCTCCACCCTCCCGCTATGGGTGTGTTCACCCATCACAGGGCTGAGCTGGGCTGAGCCCAGGGAGCCTCAGGGTTGTAGCCCCTCTTTCCTGGGCTCCTCTCAGAGTCACTGATCCCTTGGAAAGAGGAGAGAGGGGGAGGGTGGGGCTGGGGCTCATAGTCCTGGATTAATCCCCTCCCTGCCCTCTTCCTTTCCAGTAACGCCAGAGAGAATATTCAGGGAATCACAGACCCCCTGTTTAAGGGCATGACCAGGGACCAGGTACGGAAGGACTCGAAGGCCGACCAGTTTGCCAACGAGTGGGGCCGGAGCGGCAAAGACCCCAACCACTTCAGACCTCCTGGCCTGCCTGACAAGTACTGAGCTGCCTCTCTCTCTGCTCAGGAGACGGGGCTGTGAGTCCCCAAGGGCAGGGACACTGAGCTAGAGCGTTCTCTGTCCACAGAAGGCAGCGGATCTAATAAATGCTTAAGAGATGGAATACTGAGACTGCGTGTCATTCTTGGTATGAGGACAGCCTGTTGGTTCCAGGACTGATGGCAGGACAGCCACGTGAAGCTGAGCCTGTGCCTGTGTGTTTGGCTCCAGGACACACCCTTAGCATCATTCAGGACACACCCCCTGTCCAGCCTTCCCCTAATCAGACCTGCTCCCTCTCCAGGCCCCTCTGGTTCCCCCGGGGCCGTTTCCAGGCCCTTCTCAGTCCAGGCCTTCTCCCTCCCTGCAGCTGTGTCCTGCCACCTCCTCTGTCCTCGTCTAGTCGCCCAGCTTGTCCTCGGTGCTCTCTGCGTGGGGTCAGGGACACAGTCACGGGAGGACTGGATGCTTCAGAAACTGCCACCTTGACCTTCTAGTAGCAGCATCTGCAAGTCCAACTATGAACCAGTTTCTTTCTGCGCATCCAGAACCACCTCCAGTGCTCCTTCCCCTCACTCTAGTTTCCTTGCATTATACAAGTTCCCAGCAACGAACATGTCAAGAAGTGGAGGAATAGTGACAACATCAAAATTCAGAGCCAGGAGGCTTTGTTTGCGTTGGATGTGATTCGTGTCCTTGAGAGGAAGTCATTTTCCCTTCCTGGTCCTTTCTCAACCCAGGGAAGCCAGGAGCAGTTACTTCCTATTGAGGAAAACTGTCTCTTATGGCAGGGGTTTGGGTCTGTTGTGGTTGTTGTTTAGTCGCTAAGTCATGTCTGACTGATTGTGAGCCCGTGGACTATAGCCCATCAGGCTCCTCTATCCATGGGAGTCTCTAGGCAAGAATACTGGAGTGGGTTGCCATGGGTCTGTTAGAGTGCAGGAATTATGAGTGATTCTGGAAATTATAAATTCCTAAAAAACCAAGAAACTTCTTCCTCAGAGAAAAACTTTGGTTTTGGTGTTCAGCTTGTTTTGTTTTGTTTTCAGATTTGATGTTTACGAATTTTTCAGATTCCAATAAGTAAAATGATCTAAAATCTTAAAAAATGGTGAATACATTTCTGTATCCAACTTTCATATCAAGTAATAATACACTTATTTTTCCCTTCTACAAAAATTTGGAAAGCTTCTGTATCCAGCCTTGCCAATCATCCTCTCTCTAATATTTCCTTTCTTTCCCCTCATTTTGCAAAAATTTTAGACCTTCAGCACCTGGGATAGAAATCTAACAGTGAACAATCTCATAACAAAAGGCTTCTTACAACCTGGGGTCCATTCAGACTCTACCATAGAAACTCCTAAACTCAGAAGAGCTTTGAGCCTGTTCCCAGCAGCTGATGGGCAGCCACATTCTCCTTAATCCCAGCTAACTTTCCCCTGCTTTATTTTGTCAAAGACTCACTTTTCTGAGATACAGCCATAATCCTCCTTAAACTTCTCCTACCTACATCTCTGACAAGGCCTTCTGATGGAACTTGTATGAGAAAGCTCTCTGTGACTACCTTATATCCACACTTCTTCTTCCTCCTTGACAGGGAAATTCAACATGTCTTTCCTCTCTAGAGATCATTTTCTCATTAATCTTCTCCCCTCGGGAGTGCTCCTCAATCCCATGTTCAGAGTAGAAGTGTGTGTTTATTTATTCTGAGCTCCACACCTACCCTTTTTTGCCTGGCTTGTGATTCTGGAGCTGGACCCTACGAACACAAGCCCGCTGCCGGCTGGCCACAGTGCTCACCTCTGCAGTTTGGGGTGCTGGAGGGACGTTGCAAGAGAAGACACTTTCTGGTTAGTGGTTCCCTTCCGCCCAGCTCCTGAGGCGCACTTGTCCTGCACAGGACACCTGGGGACATTCACCTCAGTGAGGAAAATGTGCTTGTTCCTCATGATACACACCACACCTCAGAGTCCAGACCCTCTGTGCCTGCTTCCTTAATAAATTCCCACACTGAAAACCCAGACTTCACTCCATGTCACTCTTCACTCTGGCACCTTCTCCTCTTCCTCTTTATCATCAAACTTGAGAGTCTGTCCATCTGCACTTCCTGCTTCCTCACTTCTGGCTCACACTAGAACCCACACCAGCCTGATCTCTGTCCCCACCACTCAGCAAAACAGCTCTGGTCACCACTGACCTCCATGGTGCCAAGATAATTGACAAGTCCCTGTCTCATATCAGGAAGGCTCGGAGACACGCTCAGCACAGTTGTCCTCTTCCTCCTTTCTGGAAGTTTCTCTCTTGGCTTCATAATGCTGTATCCTCCTTTTGTTTCCCTTTAATTTTCCTTTATCTCCGTAGCTGGGTCTTTTCATCTCCCTAAACTCTAAGGGTCCCTCAGACTTGGTTCTGGTTCTCACTTTCTTTAAGTTTCTTTTTTCTTTTTTTTCCCCTAAACTTATTTAATTGAAGGAAATTTGCTTCACAACATTGTGTTGGCCTCCGCCATACATCAGCATGAGTCAGCCATAGGCATACATGTGTCCCCTCCCTCTCCAACCTCCCTCCCACCTCCCACCCCTTCCCACCCCAGGACTCTCACCTTTTAAGTCTCTAACTTTTCTCCAAGTGCAGGAAATAGCACCTATACACTGATGGTTCTGAAAATTACACCTCCCCCGTTCAGAAACCTGGTTTCCCTGCTCCGTGCTTGAATATCTGACTGACCTCTAGACACCTCTGCTTGGATGGCTTCCAGAGATCTCACACTCACTGTGTCCCAAAGGGAACTCTCATTTGCCTCCAGAACTTTTCACCTGCAGGCCTCTCCATTTCAGCAGATGACATCACTGTTCCCTCTGTTACTCAGCCCAGAAATTGAGATATATGCTTGATGCTTCCCTTGCCTTTACCCCACATCCAATCCACTAGCAAGTCCTGTGATTCTATTTCCAAATTTTGTCTCTAATCCATCAACCTGCTCTCACGTGCACCTCCAACAAACACCATTTCTCACCTGGGTTCCTGCAGCCACTGTCTAACTAGTCTCCCCATCTTCATGATTTCCCCTTCTGCTTAAGTTGTATATAACTTAGCATCTAAACCAAGTCACTTTCCAGAACGAAAAGGGGCATTAGTAATAATTATGCCAGGATGACAGAAATAAACTGGGACTGTCACAGCCAAAAGAGGCCTGTCTCTCTAGCACAGGCTGATCTAGCACAGGCTGATCATGTGTCCCTTCTACTTAAAACTCTTCAGCAGATCTGGTCCCTGGTCATGTTCTGGCATAATCTCACGCCATATCCTCCCAGCTCTCTGCTCTCCAGCCACATTGGTCTTCCCTCAGTCCCACCAATGAGTCAAACTCTAATTTACAGGTATGTGGTATTGCCTTTGCCCAGAACATGCTTCCCACCCATCCTTCTCAAGCCTGCTTCCGTCTTTCCTGCACCTCTCACTTGAAATTTCTCTTCAGGATGGCCTTCTCCGACTACTCTGGGTGGCCTACCATGGCTATTACTTCTTTCCTAACAATTATCAATATGTGAGATGATTTTATTCATTTCTCTTTTTTTTTTTACTTTTTCTGTTTACTTTTTCTGTTATTTGGTTCCTGGTGGGGGGTGGGGCATTGTTTTGCTGGTTTTCTTGGTCTGTCTTCAACCTTAGATTGTAACAATTTCTGTCTCATTTAACTTTAAATATCTAGCACTAAGCAAGGTATCTGGCATGTAATAGGACTTCAATGCTTATTGAACAAGTGAATGAATGAAAGAATTTTTTTAACTAGTAAAAAGTGAATTTTTTCAGGGTAATACATTACAAAGTGTATTTCCATTATACCACATCATCTTTATCCATTCACTCACTGATGGACTTTAAGTGCTTTAGATGGTTTAAGTCCATCAGTGCTTTAGATGGTGTCCATATCTTGGCTGTTGTAAATATGCTGCAGGGGTGCATGGATATTTTCTTTTTATATTTTTAAATTGAGGTATAGTTGATGTAAGATATTTCATAGGTTTCAGATGGCCAACACAGTGATTCACAATTTTTAAAATTTATACAGCATTTATAGTCATTATAAAATACTGGCTATATTTCCTATGCATCCTTATAGCTTATTTCATACAGAGTAGTTTGTACCTCTCAATCCTCTACCCCTATCATGCCCTTTCCTCCCTTCTGTCTCCCTACTGGTAATCACTAATTTGTTCTCTTTAACTGTGAGTCTCTTTTTTGTTGTTATACTCAGGTTTATTTTATTTTTTAGATTCCACATGTAAGTACATCAAAGTTGTCATCACACACACAAAAACTGTCATTGTGTATGGTGATGGGTGGTAACTAGACTTATCTTGATGATCATTTCACAATATATACAAATATCAAGTCATTGTGCTGTATATCTGAAACTAATGTCATGCTATATGCTAATGACATCTCAACTAGAACAATAATAAAAGCCATTCCAATCATCACCCGGTATCACTGGAAGAGAGGAACCAGACAGCCTGAGCTTCTGTTTGATCCATTTGGAGTCACGTCCCTAGGCACCCCTCACAGAAAGTTCTTTTTCCAGAGCAAGTTTATTTAAGCCTAAATAAACTGAGAACAGAAAGAGCTGTAAAACCGTCATCACCCGGGATTCGGCCAGAAATGCAAAATCTCAAGCTGTACCTCAGATCTACCACAGCAGGCAGGACCAGTTACATAATGTGTGGTACCAGTCCCAAATAAACATGTTCAGAAATTCTTAAAAATTCCAACATGGTGAAAGTGGGGCATTAAACCAAGCCCAGGGCTGTGCCAGGCGTGGGGCTCTGCATGGGTGCACAGCATCATGCCACAAAGACGGGCGGTTTAACTAGGAAAAGTCAAGGAATTCAAAACACTGATGTAAAGCCATGAAACCCAGGCTTTCCCTATTAGTATCAGATAAAATAATGCCTACATCACTAGTATATGTTATCTTGAATATTCAGATGGATTCAGAGTAGTCC